AAAAGAGTATAAGTGCTTAAGTATACTAGCTCAAATCAGCTTTAACATAATAATTATTGTACTACTGTTCAGAATCCTTTCCATTGAAAACAATAATTAATATTAAGAATTTAGTTTTTTATAGATAAAAAATCACAAGACAAATTTTTTTATGATGTTAAAGTGATCATGAATTAATTATATTAGGAGATAATATTTACGATATTATTAAAGATAATTTTACGAAGCATTTAAATTCAAAGAGCTCTAACTACAGACACTATCCTGTGAAAAATAGTTATTTATGAATGAAAAATAAAACTAACAATGTATGTGAACATTAGGAGTGCGTAGATCTCAAGCTGCTACGATCCCAACTTACTCCAAATTTAGGGATAGGGTTGCGTGTTTTACATCCAGCCGGAATACAAGTTTTAGACTTGTTTCTATTTTGAAGATATCATGAAATGAGTTGCAGAATAGCACGCTAATACGTGTAAAACTTTAACTATAATATATATGCGTGAACAGTCTGGTATATCTTCTTCTAGACTGCTATAATTATGATATGTCAGGCCTAACATTGCTTGAGATGCCAACCAAAAGCATAGCACCATTTGAGACCTGTGTACAAAACTCTAGAAAAACAAAATTTATAACCACAAAGGGTAGTTCCTAGGCTAAGTTTTAATTGAAGACGGAAGTAACTAGTTACCCTTAAAATAATAAAATTAATTAATTAATTAATTAAAATAAGATGAAATTGATATTTAATTAAATAAAAATTAAAGCACAACGTCTTATTGTGCTTAGCGGCGTTTACTATTTAGTGTCCCGCACATGTCTTATGTGTAGGCGTTCTATTCTATAATGTATCAATAAGTAATACGGAATGTTCTTTTACAGATTGTATTTTACAAATAATAAATATAAAAAAAATATTGTGGCTATTATAACAGTACCATTTTTTCGGAAATAATGTTTAACACTATATTTTAAAAAAGAAAATAGGTTAACTAAACCTATTTTTCTATATGTTCATTTCTTCGTAAATTGAACCAAGGAACCACTTATAAGATGGAGTCGCTTTTATTGCAGAAAACCCTGTACAATAAATAAATAAATAAAACTGCAAAAATAAAGAAGAATCCATAAACTATAGAAAATTTTTTTTATTTTAAAAAAAATGTGGTTTTATTTCTTCTACTTTATTTTTGGAACTATATGAGGCATGTTCCTTGCTTTATTTTTGTGTGCTATTGCAACATGTCGTACAAGAGTTGCAACGTGACATTGCAGCACTTATAATTTAAGAAAGTCCTTTCAATCCTTCGCGTTTCTAACTTTAATTGGTGCACCAACTGTTGTAAAGACAATAATTCTATATTTAAAAATAATAAATAAATAAATTAAAACCTTAAAAGGATAATTTTAAAAAAATATTGCCCATTCAACTTAAAACAGGCTAAAAATGATAATAAAAATAAATGTTTTTAGGCGGAACTTCTTTTATTATTTTATAGATTATGTGATAATATTGAGTCCATTCAACAAAAATTCCATTATCGCAAAGAAAAACATTTATTATAATAAGTCTGTTCCACCAGTTACTAGTAGTAAAACTCTAGAAAAACACAAGTAAAATACAAACTGAGAGCGTAACACAAATAAAGTGCCAAATTACGATCTTTACACAGATTTTCATGGAACAGCTTTCTGTAAAGTCTGATGAGAAAACCAGTACTGCGCAAATAAACAATACAAAAATTTAAATTCAAACTAAAACAGCTGATTCATACATCACACAAACTTTACTTGAAATTAAATGTACGAGTAAAGTCTGTGTAGCATTTTCAAATTTCGACAGGGATGTTACGCTCTCTCAGATGCTCTTATTTACTCGAAAATTTGCTGCAAGTAGCCTGTGGAACAGAATATTTACATATATAAACTCGAGTCCTGTTAACTATTAAGCGATTGACCCCAACGCCTCAATAGCACCTCGTAAACTATTTGGCTTGAATTTAAAGTTTATTGAGTGTGCTGTACTTAACTTTATTAGTTTCTTAATTTGAAAACCTCAGAGATTACTATCTCTGATATTCTCTGACTATTATTCTGGAGTTTGGTGTCGTATGAGGTCTAGAATTTCCCGTCATATTAGTACCTTAAAGAGAGATAATATAAAAAAATTTTATTTTAACTGTGATATTATTAAGTACTTGAAGCTAAAATAAATTTTTAAATAAATATTATGCTTTTATATATAGATCCAATCGTGACTTTTTATGTAGGGTTGTAAGATCTTCACCAAAGTCAAATTTAAAAATCTTCATTGAAATTAAGAAAACTATTGAATTATTTTAAATTATTGAATTATTAAATTATTAAATTTAACAAAAGTGCATGAAAAATTGTTGTACTCTTAAATCTTTTAAAACATTTATATATGATCAACTAAAAGCTTATATTAATTTTTATTATTTTTATTAAACAGTAATCAATTGTTAAAATAATAATTTGTTCGTTTAATTAATTTTATGTTTTGGCTATCCATATAGCTTTTCCAAGTACTGTGAAATACATATCATCAGTGGTTGTCCAAAATAACCTATTAATTTTTGATACTGCATATAATTTTCAATATTATTTTATTATCTTCTTAACTCCAACTTATTTTCCTCAATTTTGACTCGGATGCCCAATTTGTGTGACTCAAGGTTGACGACATATACTTTCTCTTTCACCTAAAGCCGTTGTTCTATTAACTTACCAAATTTAAATCAATCATTAATCCATAAAGTAGAGTATTACTCATAACGGATGTAATCCTTGTAATTTTAGCAAACACATAACATCATCATATTTATCGACATATATTATATATTATACCGTCAGGCTAAAGAGCTGGATGGTAACATATCCTTAATCAGCAGAAGAGAGTTGAAGTTGCTGCTGGGATATTTAACGGGTAACCATGGACTGCGTTACCATCTTAACAAAATGGGTCTGTCCGAAGAGATAGATTGTGGACTCTGCTTGGAAGCAGACGAGACTTGCATTCACATACTCTGTGATTGCCTAAGTTTGATTTGCGCCAGGAGGAGGTCACTGGGTCGAGAACTACTTCCCCCTTCTGACATTAGGAGATCCTCAACAGCTGACATTCTGTCTTTCATTCGGAACGCGGAGTGTCTTCTGTTCGGTTAAGGTATGTTGCAGCAAAAAAAAATGAACCATGGTCGCAGTGCTCTACACCGTTAGGAGCTGGTTTCCTGTTTATTCCAATTCCTACTATATATTATATATTATGTATTGTATATATGTTATAAATTATATTTTATGTATTATGTAATATATAATATATATTAGGTTAGGCTAAGTTAGGTTGAGGCGCATGTTGACAGTTATCAGCACTTACACTCGGAGGCAAACGAGTTGCCGAAGATAACCTTTGTTATTTTCGTATACTATCCTTGTTAAACCATTTAGTTTTCCAGAAAAAGTTGAGGAAATCCGATAACTTTGATTTCGTTATCTCTTTAAGGTAAGAGGTTCAAGATTACTTACTTACCTTAGAATAATTATTGGAAAATTGTATGGAACGTATCAAAATGCATGTTGGACTCTACAGTTCTTGGAAAGTACGATGTTTGTTTGTATTTTATTAACACCGCATTGGGTAATGTTTGCATTATATTCTGAGGGAAACTATTATTACAAACTTGAATACTTTTGTATAATTTAAATATTAATGATTTGTTTAAGGCATAATATCCCTAATTTGGATTTGTATGTGCAGACAAATGAACCAAAGTTACTACTGCAAAAATAATCAATTTTCAATTTAATTATATATGATATAACTGTTCAAGACAGAGGTTTCTTGTTTTCTTTGAAGCGCCTCGAGGAATTGGGAAAATAGTATTTATTTGATTCATCCTAGCCGAAATACCATCGCCAAATAATATTGCATTGATTATATACATCATTATTAAAAATTGCTGAAACTCTGCTGGATGATGATAGAACTGTACATTCGACTATCAAAGTGTTTTTAAATATTCCAACTAATGGATTTAAAATAAATAACAACTCAGAATAGAAATAATTCTTAAGATTTGTTAGATCATTATTTGAAATAAATGTTTATGACAAACCTTAAATTCCACACTGTAAGACTTTGAAGAAAACCGCAGATTTTTCAGCATATATAGTACCTTCCCTTGTTCTGTTGTACTCGGATTTTGTAAATAAAACACACAAATTTAAATTTCATTCCAAATTTATTTTATCTCCTTCAAAATATGCTCCTTCTGAAGCGATACACATATGCCAACGCTTAGCCCAATCTTCCATACACTTTTCGTAGACCCGTGCAGGTACGGCTTTTAGTTCCATCGGCGAATTCTATTTTACCGATTCAATCGACTCAAAACGCTTACCACGAAGGGGCAATTTGAGTTTCGGGAACAGGAAAAAGTCGCACGGATCTAGATCTGGCGAATATGGTACCTGAGCGAAGACTTTGGCTAATAGCTTTGGCTAATAACCGAAAGAGTCTTGCAAATATCTTATAATACAAAGAAGCTGTATTTAATATTTTTCCAAATTTAAAGAACTTTCACGTAAATCTTCTTTGGTTAAGCGGAAAGATTACATTGGCTAGTCAAAATGTTGATGTTGATGGTATCAGTATAAAAATTTAAGACATGATTTACAATAAAACGTTTTCATTCAAAACCGTGAATGCAGTTATGGACATTAATGGAAGTGTTAATTTTCTTACCAAGTCCCAGACCTTACACCCAACAATTACCCCTCTACAACGAAGCCTCTTTGCTTCTATATTGTTATGAAGCACTCTAGCAATTTCATTGTGGCAATCGTAATCAATGGAAAATTCAGTGAGAAACACGTCTGCTTAATTAAAAATTATTTAATTAAGTATTTATTTAAAAAAAAAAAACTTGTTTATAAAATAAAATATGACAAAAAAAATCAAGTATAAGATAAAACAAAATAAATTTTTAAAAGATTGTAAAAGTGATTAATATCAGTTCAGTCACTTAAATTACCGTATCTCCATCTAAGCTACATTCTAGCAAAATATGGTTTTTTGTTATCATATGTAGGAGCGACTCCATAAAGCGACATGGTATATCTGTCGTGCAAAAGTGTTCAAATATAATATCTTCAGCAAATCTTCTTTCATCAAATGAACTAATCATTGGGTTAACTTCACTCGTTTCATATTTTGACTCGTTTTGTACTTGACTTCCTTGACTTTGCTCATCAAATAGCAGGCGAACAGGAGTTGGATCAGAACTCGGATGTTGACCGCAACCATGACGTTTTTTAATTTTAATATTACCCTTGATGTCTTCTGCTTGGGGCTCAGAATTAAATTTTTTCACTGTTTTCTTCTGGTTTATTTTTAACAAAGAAATTGATTCTCTTTTCCTGGTATATGGTTTCATTACTACAAAATTGTATACAGATAAATTTACCTAAGGATTATAAAAATTCAAATTTATATAAAGTGTTTACTTACATTTGTTATAATTTGCAGGACCTTTTGTATATTTTGGCAAGATTTTTACTTGTTTTGCTGGACTTTTCCCATCAAAGAAAAGACAAGCCGGAGTTGAATTAGAATACTGATGTTGACTGGACTCAATCTCACTTGCACCTATATTTGACTGTTTTTTTGATGAAAAATACTTTAAATCCTCTTCATCTACCATGTCAAAATAATTTTTTATAAAAACTGAAACTGAAAAAATTAAATTAAAATTATTGAAAATTAGTAATCCTAAAATTTTACTTACAATCGTCATGGTTTGAACACTCATTATCTGGTGTCTGGAGAAGTGAAGTAGACTTTAAAGCCATCGCTGGTAATACATTTTGTTGACCAATTTTCTTAATTTTTTTCTTTTTAAATAGATATTGATTAGTTTTTTCATTATCTGGTTTTTTAAGAAGCGAAGTAGACTCAAAAGCTATCGCTTGTAAAACATTTTGTTGACCAATTTTCTTAATTTTTTCCTTTTCAACTAGAGGTTTTCGTGCTTCCGCAGAGGTACATGGTAAATCCATTCCATTTGACTGGTCTGAAACTGAAAAATTAAAGTAAACATTATAAATAAATAAAAATCATTTAAATATATTTATTGCTATCAATTGATTATTCTTCATATTTCAATTCTCTTTCAGTGCCAGGGAAAGAGGAGCACACTAAAAAAATAAGGATTTGCCATCGTGGATTTGGCAAGAAATCAAATGGAAATCAAATGAATTTCATTGATTTACTAAAAATATAAAAAAGGCTATCTTCCATTGAAATATGTGGCATTCGAGACAGCAAAGCAGATCGGATGATGAAAAAATGCTGTTATCTCTAACTGCTGATCCTATCGACTTGTTTTGCTTGAAATGAATGTGTTCTAACTTAGCACAATAAATTTGATTAAATGTTGCTAGATGTCAGTATATGCAAAACTTAGATATATAACTGTTTCGAAAAACAATTTTTTTTTTTGCTTTTAACAAATAAGTGGATAGCAACCAATACATACATATTGCAATAAGTATATTAAAATACTAAACACAATTGCCAAAAATATTTCTTATATGCAACATTATTATGTATAATGAATATATATGCATATGTATAAATATATATAAATAATGAATAGAAATAGAGAATTGTTAAGAAAACGAATTACACTTATTATGCTGAGGCTTTTCTTCTTCAACAATATTAGGCGATGCTTTAATAATGGCAGATCCAGGCTCGAACTTCTTAACAATTGTTTTCTCCATAACTGTTGGGCATTTCTTTACTTTGTCTTCAATCTTTGCTGATGATTTAATAATGGAACGTTCGACAGATTTTACCTTTAAGTCTTTCTGAACTATTGTTTTCTTTAAAGCTTCAATATTAACCGATTCTAAATTTGATTCTTTTTCTTGTATTGTTTTCTTTAAAGCTTTAATATTAGCCGATTCTAAATTTTGTTCTTTTTCTTGTATTGTTTTCTTTAAAGCTTCAATATTAACAGATTCTACCTTTTTATCTTTTAAAGCTTCAATATTAACTTTCTTAGATTTTCTTGGTTTCCCTGTAATTTCCTTTTTTCCATTGCTTGTTTTTATATTTTTGCGTTTTCTCTCATTTCGTTCAATTGGTAATTTATTTTTCTTCATTTTTTTCTTTGTAATCGATAATTTTGGCGTTACTCTTTCGTTTTTATCTTTAGTCATTTTGCTTTTTTGATTAACTTTGATTAACTTTTCTTGCTTTTCATTTTTCTTTGAACACTTTTCAGGAATTTCCACACTTTCATTATATTCTAGTTCTTCGGTTTCTTTTCGCACACGCTTGCGTACCTTTCTAACTGGACTTACACTAGTAAGAAGCTTCTCATCACTCTTTTTTGAAGGCTCTTCTTTTAAATTTTTCTTCTTTTTCACATATTGGCGCCCTTTTGCCGTTTTTTTATTTTGTATCTCTTCTTTATACAACTTTTCTGGCATTGAAGACCTAATAAGTGTTTTATTTTTTTTAATAGGTGATATGCGTCCTTTCGTCATTTTTTTAAGTAATCTATCAGCACTTTTTTCTACAGTTTCAACTCTTCTGACTTTTTTACCCATTTCGACACCTTTTCACATACGACCTCACAGACATTTCAAGCGCGACTGACGAAGTAACTCGATTTCCAATCGTTTTCTGGTTTCATTGACTACGCCATAATTTAACAATTTATATTTTTGATCTTTCTTATTGGATTTCCCTATTGCGATTTCTTTCCTTTGCAGGCGATTGCTTGGAAACGACTATACTGCCGAACTTTTCTAACTTTCATTAGTTCTATTTTTTTTACAGATTTTTGTGTATTTAGAATTTCCTATTTAGTATGTCCAAATCAACGGTAGTTGCCTCATACATCTTACTCTTTCTCACCTAAGTATATGATTTATGTGATTCAACTATACTACCAATATCTCCTTTTCGCTGTTTTTTTCGTTGACTGTGTTTCTTTTTTAAATATTTCATTTTAACACTGTTCCTTACATTTAATTATTATTGTTTATATTTGAACATTTTCATTTAAATAATGTTTTTGTTTAAGAATATTATGAAATGCAGAAAGAACTTTTCGTTTAACCTAAAGTAATGTTTATATATGTACGAGTGCATATTATTTTAATACTTACTTACTGCTGTCCTTCTCTCCTTAATGGAGCATAGGGCCTCGAATTTGATGCTTCGATTTCAGTCATCTGGATACTCAAATGTGATACTCAAATGTGAGCCGTAAACCGGTTGCCCCATATAGATATAGTTTCGCTGTGCTTTTTATTTATGTTTGTTACAAGCATATGTAAAGATTAGTCAATGGGTGATAGACTCAAAGATCGCTTTCTTTGTGAGTTATAGAAGGGTTTTTCTGGTCTCCCCTACTTCATGCGACGCTATGATGTTCAAAAAAAACCATTTAGATTAGGTGGTCACATTTCCTCCTCCTTTTTCAACCGGGCTTGGTGTGGGCTACGGAGTAATTAATAGCAATTTTAATAGCATATTTAAAATATATTATATGTACTTTTATTCAAATAGCTACCACCGAAATTATGTAAACAATATTATATTGAAAGTGCTTTGCATAATTGGTCTCAATGATTGCCACAACAAATGTTATTAATCAATGTTGATATTTTCACGAATCTGCGCAAATTACTACGATTAATAACCTAAGGCAGCAGTATATATTATTGGGCTTAAGTATATAAGATTACTAAGCACGGATTTGTGAAGTTACTTTCCGTTCCGTTGTTCATATATGGGCTGATCTTTTTACAAGCGGACAGTTTTCTCCTGATTTCCTCCACTTTTGATGAAATTTTTTTTATGAACTGTCTTTTAAAGAAAAATATCTCCCTCTCAGGAACATATTTTAAATTTTTTTTTTTGAGAGATACAGACCCATTGGTTGTTTAGAATTTGTATTTAAAACTTATTTGGAAATGATCACATCTCAGATTCTGTGACTGATATGCATCAAAACTTTTTATTGTATAAATAACAAATTGAAGTTTTTAGAAGTAATATATAGTATATAACTTTAATTGTTTATATTTAGTTACTATCATTATCATTTTCTTTCAATATACCTACAAATCGAAAATTTTTATTTTTGTTTTCGATTTATCATTAAATTGTGTCAAAAACATAAACCTTCCCCGATGCTATTATTTTTAAAAATATTTAAAAAATAATTATTGATATTGTGTTATTGATATTAAATGTTTGTTTCTGATTCAAATTGATTTGATTTAGAAATTAAAATTCTCAAATTGATATTAGTTTTAGAAGTGTTTTTAATCAAAATTTACCACTAATGTACCACTAAATTTTAGTTAAATTAAGTTTAAAAATTCATATCACGAAAAAGATTTACTTCTTATTTTCAATTATAATCATTCCTAATTAAGTAATCATTAAGTTCTACTTAAAGAATATTTTTTCAAAATAATATTAATTTAGAAGTTTTTTAAAAGAATTTTAAACTTGCATTTCACATACTATATATAGGCACTAAATCAAATTTTGAAATACATGCCATCAACTATAAAGATTTTTAATATTTAATTCGGACTTAGCATTAAGTCCTCCTAGTAAATCCAAAAGTACAAAACTACATGGTATTCTTCATGACGAAGATTAAAATGTTTGTAATTCTTCATACAATTTTATTTTTATTACTATTGTAACGATCATAAAAAAAAATTTACAGCCAAATATATATCGAAATTAGTTATATACCTATATATTCTTTTAATTTATTGAGTTATGTGCAAATGTCTTCAATCAGATCATCATGTAGACTATCACTACTTGACTATCAGTGCTTATATTTTACTCCATTATCTTTCTTTAACTTATTGAGTTAATTCCTAAGATAAAGACAGTGTCGTTATCTTTCTTTAACTTATTGAGTTAATTCCTAAGATAAAGACAGTGTCTGTTGTAAGGAATGACACTTGGTAAGATTCTTGGCAATCTTATTATATATAATTTTTGAATGTTTTAATTTCAATACTTATATTAAAAAGCAAAGTGGCTTGCGAAATGGATCTAAATGAATTATTTTTTAGCAAAATAATACTTTGTAATCTTTTAATGTACTTGAACCATGAGATCGCTGCTCCGCTATCGGGTCGAGTGTTCCCAGTTAAAATGAAGAATGATCAAGAAATTCTAATGAGACTAAGAAAGGGAAACAAATTATTATTGCAATTAAATATAAATTATTTAGTGAGGAATATTAACATATATATTTAATTAATATCAAAGATAACAAAAGAAATATCAAATAGTTATTATCAATGAAAACAAATAGTTTTTATTTCCTTCCAAAAAATTTAATTACTTCTCTTCCATCTAAATAAAAATACGAATAATTTAATAAAATATATTTAATTTAAAATGAATAAATAAAATAATTTGTCTTTGTAGTGCGTTGAAGAATTTTTCACATCAATGACAGAACAGTACAGGAGGAGCTTTATCACATCAGCGAATCTGGGGAGCACCTTTAGGATTGGATTAATTTCTGTACATAGTTTGCGAATGGGCTAGAAATAAAACAAATTAAAATGTAATAATGTATAAGTAATTTCAACAAATATTACATATATTTATTTAGGCTTATGCAGAAATAATGACTCCAACACATATTCAAGAAGATATCATTGTTTGTGCATTACAGCGATTGGATGAGCTTCTGCAGCCTGCAAGGCTACCTACGTATTCGAAATCCGGGGTTGCAGCGTAGAATAAAAACGGCATCAAATACAATAAAGCGTGATATGGTTTTTACAGCTAGTTTTTATACTTACTGAATTCTAATATAATATTTAATATTTCATAAAAAGTTATTTATACAATTTTTATTTAATTTCATGTTCAAATCAAATTTGTAAAAAATGTATATTTGAGATTTACATAATAATGTACTAAAATTTTTGTAAGACGGTCTCTGAATTTGTCTTCTTTGCCATAGTTTCAAAAGTGGTGTTTTTTAATAAGTGTATATCCTAATGAAATTATAAAATGTTGTGTGTTTCATTATATAATATTATAAACGAATTTATCTGGTTTCTGGTTTATGTTTTGGTGGTAACAATTTCCGACCCATATGTTTTGACTGAAAATCATGCCAACTATCAACGCGACTTTGGCGAGATTCTTCATAATTCTTTTGCCATTCTGTTTCATACTCTTGTATATCCTCCTCTTCAATTTCAGCTTCACGTTTTCTTTTCCGATCCTCTTGATCACGTTGTTCAAGTTGTTGTTGTTTTCGTTCCACATCTGCGAAAAGCTTCATAACCATGACATGGAGAGCATGTTTGTAGTTCTCCGGATCATCCTCGGGAATATCCTCAAAACGTTTATGTTCCTTTTTCTGTTTTTTACGCTTCTTTGCAATCTAATATAAAACACACAAGATGTAAATAAATTGCTTTTTTTTTTATATACTATCATTAATTACCATATGATTGGTACGCTCTTTAGCTTCTTCGTAGATGTCCAAACATTTCTTACGTGTGACTTCATTTTCCAATGTTCTCCAAGAACGATTTACAATATCGAACGCCATTCGTGCGCGATCTTTGTTATCTGGATTTCTATCTGGATGAACTAGTTTAGTCATTGTATGATAACGCTTCTTTATGACGTCCATTGTAGCTTCTGGTTCCACTTGCAGTACCTCGAATGGATTGAGATTGAAATAAGTCGAACCTGGTCTTAGTAGATGATCAATTTGTTGAGTAGAAGTTAGTGCAGAATCGCGTTTTTCTATTTCTTTAACCTGTAATATATCCGTATGGAACCCAAATTTCAACATTTTGAACATATATATGTACAAATATATTCATTTATTTATAAATGCAGAATCCGAACGAACTTACTTCAATATAAAATGTATTAAACGATTTTTTTGAAGTAGACATATCATCTGAATTATTCGACATTTTTTAAAAATTTAGTGTTTAATTATTAACTTAGAAAAGTTTTGAAACTTTTATTTGATAGTAGAAAAAAAAATCACTAAATGTTGCAGACGTCAAAATTGGTACAAAAATCAAAACATAAAATCGACACCTCCTTTGTCAAATTTGAGTGACACAGACCTGTCAGTTTAGCTTTATTTAAATAAATATGTAACTCGGTTAAATTGAACGTTTTTCCATAAATGTATATATATATATATTTGATATACATGATTTATGACCTCATCACCTCCGATTTTGCAGACATTTTTTTTTGGTAGCTCATTTTTTTAAGAAAATTATGTGTCTCGGGAAGAAATATTTAAATTTCTATTCTAGGAGATACGGACCCATTGAATTTCAAAACCTTCCATTGTATACCAATTTTTAAATGGTCATATCTTAGGTTATGTTAATGATAACGAATTGAAGTTTTTGCAAATACACATAACTAAAATATAATTATAATTTTATTTTATATAATTTTATTTTGCTTTTTTATTCAGAAAGGTCTTGCAAGACTTAAAAAACGAGGCGATGTAATATGTCCGTATTCCTAACAATTTCGCGTACTTTTACTCTGAAATATCGCCGATTCTCTCTTTGATTTCTAACGTAAAATTTTTAATTGAAGTCAAATCAGAATGTAATCTGCTGCTACATATCTGATAAAACTTTACTCAAATCGTGAATACCGTGAATGTAGTCACAAGTCTTTCACTGTTAAGTATCTGTAAACTCTGCTTGAGTCTAAGAGACGATGCACGATATATATTAAGTTA